TTTCCTGCTCTCATTCTCCTACCTTTAAGCCTTTAATGGGTTTCCATAGTCACTTTTCATTTTTCTAATGTTATTCCCTATGTTATGTGCTCTGTAATCTTCATAAGCCACATTAATTCTTTACTTCCCAATGCTTTCATAATACTTTATTCATAGCACTAATATACTGAATATAGTTCATTGTCTATAGTGTATTTTCCTTGCTAGAGTGTGAATTCATTGAAAACAAGGAATGCATCTTGTTTATTTTTATATCTCCCAATCTAACAATGCTTTATTGAAACAAACAAACTAAAAGACAACAAACGTGAACACCAACCAATAACAACAACAAAATCTAGGCATTTTAGTCACTAATTTCAAAGTTCAAGTCAAAACACAATGACATTTGCAAGGCAATCAATTAATTGATTCCATATATATCAGGAATAAAAATTAGAATATGTGAGTGCAGAAGCAGTGCCATTTCCTACAGAAACATATCATTTTTAAAATCAAGAAACAATATGGCATTACCACAACCTATATACATAAAATCAAAGATCTGATCGATGGACCTGGATAAATAGGGAGAAATAACATGTTTTGGTACTAAAGCGCTAACATTTGAAAAGTCATTAATTCTTCAAAAATTAGTTTATAAATTCAATGCATATTCAGTCATAACTACAGAAGGATTTTTAATGGGCTTTGTCAAACTGAGTCTAAAAATTATATTTAAGAAAAGATATGTAATGTTTTGAACAGGGACAAGAGAACATTTTGTCAACCACAACATAATATAATGCTAAATTAATTAGAATATGGCACTAGTGTCAAAAAAAACAAAGAGACAAACAAAATCAAAGTTCCCTAAATTACGAGCGTGTGCATTAAGATAAAGCTATTATTTCAAATCTGTGAATAAGGAAGGCCTTTTAAATATGTAGGATTGACATGATTGGCTATAAATGTATTAATGTTATAGAAAATTACAGCCCAATTCCATTCTATATATAAAAATGAATTAGAGAAGGGTTGAAGCAATAGACATAAAAACAAAGTAGTGAGAAATAAGAAGAATATTTCCAAAATCTTCAGGTAGAAAAGGTCTTCTATGTGAGATAGAATAGCGAACCAGAAAGTTATACATGACTCGACATATAAATTAAAATTTTTGAATGATGAAATACACCACAAAGTAAAAAAAAAAAAAAAAAAAAAAAAAA